AAAAAAAAAAACAACAAGACAAAACAAAACTGGGGAGAGGAAATCTGGGCGGTGGGACATATCTCCTCGCCTAAGCCCTCATCATTTGAGGAGAAGGCATGTAATGAACGCCTTGGAAACCCAACGGGTTCACTTGCAACTCTGTTTTTGAAGGTCTTTAGTGAAACCAAATGTCTGCCGTAAGATGTTGAAGTACGTCTTTCGCACACTGGCTTGATGCCTCGAATTACGTGTGCATTCGTTGTTCTTGGTATAAAGCCTGTTTGGCCTACTATTAGTCTCTGTGAATGTCACAAGCAAAGCCTTTTATTATTATTATTATTATTATTATTATTATTATTATTATTATTATTATTATTATTATTATTATTACCTATAATTGAAGCTTTTGTAGAAGGGTTAAACATCAATTATAAAATAAAAAACCTAAAAATTTTTTGATCTAATTATTGTTTTAAGAATGCATTTATAAATTATTACTAACAGATGTGACTTAACAGTAATTTAGTCTTCCTTGAAAAGGCTTTTCCCCTTATGCCAACCTAAAACAATAAAAAAATAATAAAGAAAAAAAAAAAAAGGAGATTGATGTATGTCAACTGGGTTCCTAAAAAATCAAAGGAACAAATATCTCAAAACTAGATTGGTATATTAAAATTCAAAAAATGAGAATTTATATTTTGAGATATTTTTTTAATTTTTTAAAGACCCGATTAAAAAACGCTTTTCCTAAAAAGGAATTGTTTGCATTTAACGAAATTGAAAATGTCTACAATTGAACAAAAGTAAACTCCTGGACAAAAATGAAAAAGAGAAAAGGAAAACACACGTACACAAGTTAAGTCCGAGGAAGTACTTCATTGCATATGAATCTTGGAATCTTGTCCGAGTCACCGATTCAAATTTTCCTCTCTTTTTTTTTTTTTTTTTTTTTTTTTAAACAAAAAAAAATGATACAGCTAGAGAGCAGATTTTGACGCTAAAAATTATGTTTTCGGATGGGAAGTCCTGATCAAGATTCACATACATTCAGACCCATGACATCTCATGAAAGTTTCAAGAAGAAACCATTTCCTTCCATTATTCCAGACATACCAACATCAAAACACTACTTCTCTGAAGGCCAAAATGAAACATAGGGCACGGATTGATTCAATCATCATCTTACAACGAAAATTATGCCAAAGTAAAATCATGAAATTATATAAATTATACATATAAACAATTTCACATGAACTAGAAGAGATTGTTTTACTACTCTTTGTTTTCCTTTTCTCTTTCTATTTACTCTTCAAGAACTAGCAATTGGGGGGCGGGGTGTGGTAACAAATCATCCAAAAATTGGCTAGTAAATGGAATATGATAACAACAGGTGCTGACCTAATCGAGCGCAGCTTTGTTTCTCCTGCCAGTTATTGGCTTTGGCAATCCATCAAAGATCGGTCTTGTGATAGCTGAGGTTGACAGGGCTTGTAAATCAGGCTTCAAACTCCATTTGGAGGTTGGCCATATAGATGACAAACCACTACTATTACTACTGCTGTCCTGATCCTGCAAACTTGATGTGCTTGATGACTTCCTCACCCCAGAAAAACCATCAACAACAACAGATACTGGTGACATATTTAATCCAGCTTGTTCACTATCAGCTGCCAATGAAGTTCTGCTAGCAGCTTTTGATCTCAGTGCCAAGCCCTTGCCCGCTGTTGCAGAGAATGCCCCTGTGCTGGCATTATCCTCCTTTAACACTGTTTCAGGAGTGCCAGCAGTAAAGTCAGCTTCAAATTTCTGACGTCTTCTAACCAACTTCTCATTCAATCTATCAGGGCTGCTATCGCTAGCTTCTCCAGCATGTATGTTCTCAAGTGGTTCACCATTCTCATCCAAAAAACCATTAACTAAACTTTTTGATTTTCGATGGAGACTCAGTGGCAGGTTAGAAGAAGGAAAGGGTTTGAGGTGTGGACCATCCTCTAGATAATGGGCTCCTCCTTTCTTGTAAACTGCCATCTCAAAACCTTCAGATGTTGTCTTCTGTTCTGTTGGTTCAAGTCCATAGTAACCCTGCAACGAGCTCATTGCAGGGGAGACCTTCCGTGGAGTAGACTTCAGTCTCAAGGACTGGAATGAATCAAAGAGATCACATGTCACATGGTGGACTGGAGTTTGATTGGCATTGTTCTGCCTGTAATGAGTGGTGAAGCACAATCAATTGAAAGAAGCCAGCTTGAATGAGAACCAAAATGAGAAGAGATACATCAAGAAGATGTTGAAGATGCCAACCATGAAAAAGAAATAAAAAATGCTTAAGCTTCTAGAACAAGTTCTGAACTTCAGAGTCTCTAGAAGCATAAAAAACACCAAGTTAAATATTATGCATTTTGTAAGAAGTGGTTTCATAAATAATGACTTATTACATCAGATACTCCAAATATGTACTCCAGTCTCCTATACAAATGATAAACTTCAGCATGGTCCTCAAAAATTGCATTATACAAACTAGCAGTTCATGTAGAACTTTGTAGTGTCTGTTGAAGTAAAAGGGGGAAAGCAACTTTGTATTTAGTCTATCAGTTGGATTTCCCATTAACAGTTCTCAAGAATGAGTGGGCAGCCAAGAAAACCCTCTGGACCTATTACCAAGAGAACATTTTGGTCCTTATGGACACTACCACTGCAAGAAACAGGGTAGACATCAATATCAGTTCAGGAGTGGTACTACAACAATCATCACCAGGCCATCACCACCTTCACACAATGATTCTAACAACAATTTATTACCAAAGGAAAAATTACATTCAATTCTGAATTATACTAAGGCCTCATCACTATCTCCAAAAAACTTTTCAAATCAGCAAACATAGCATTTGACATTGCAAGGAAGCATGGCATTCTGACCACCAACACATCATCACTTCTATATTAGATTTGTGCTCAACCTTAATCTTGAAAGCAACAAGCAATATTTTGTTTTGTCACATAAATATTAGTATACTTGGACATCCCTCTCAATATTTATATACCATTCACATAAATAAATAACCAGAGAAACAGAACAGAAGGAAAAAAGTTTCGCAGGTGAATATTGTCTCATCAAACTAGGTTTCAAGTGCTTATGAATATTGCCTCATTAGTTTTTGAGCTCTTACTAGGAAAGCTAATGTTTTAAAAACATTGATTTACATGCGATGATGTGATAGTCCAAGCAAAAAAAGAATTGCTGTAAAAATTTTAACTTGATAAATTTGCAGTCTCTCATCTTCAGATGCAAGCTGAATACCTCTGAATATTATAAAATGAATAACAAAGAATTGTTACACAAAAGAGAAAGTATTGCATACAATACATTATTAGACACCACATTTTCACTCATTCAGCAGTGAGCAATTTCATATTCAATCTTGCTATAAAATAAATAACAAAAGGGCTGCTAAATGAATTGTAGCTATCTACTACATGATCATGTGTATCATAAAGCAATATATGGAACAAGCATCAATGGTTAAAGGAGAATGCATATTTCCGAATAGACAAATAACCATGCAGTCAAGCTTCACATGTAATCAAACAAGGAGGTCATTTTCACAATATTTAGGTTGTGTATCAAACTTACATAAGGTGACAACCTTCTGAAAAAGTTAACTAAAGAAACAGTAATAGTAAAAACAGGTTAACAGACTTCCCAAATGACATGTATGGGCCACAATATAGCGTTATTATAACTTTCATTAAGGATCTTGATAGAAGAACTAGACCAATATAGCAACAAGGGTAGAAATTAAGCAACAATGGAAAAATACATTTAAAATTGCAAGTAAATCAGGTAAAGGCATCTATTTAGCAACCAATCTAAAATGTAAATACAGTTTGTAAAATCATAAGTTTATTAAAAGAATTGACAAATGTAAAAAGTTTATGTGGTACCCTTGTGATTCAGAACCATTTGACAGGCAAGCAGATGGTGGATGCCTTCCTGGCAGTGGGATTTGGAGTGACTTGAGAGCAAACATTTGAAGATCTGTAGCCAGACCATTCATCTTTTTAATGTCAGCAACCTGACACATCATAAATGACAATAGTTTGTCAATATCAGGAAACCAAAAACAGGTGAAGAGGTCTTTGATTTCAGATGCTTTAAGCTCCTAAGGTCCCAATGGTTAGCATCCAGAAGAAGAAAACATTTTTCAATGTATCATGCAGTTTGTCCAACTTGATGCTCAGAAAAATAAAGACGCTCTAAAATATGTTGCTATATAATAATTGATCAACTTAGCTAGATCATTTTATGGATGAATGTCAAATAAACCAGTGCCTCATAATTCTTCTCCTATAATTTCATTGAGAGACTAGCAGAAGATAAAATGCATCAACTGCAAAGTTCAGAGCTTTAAACCATCTTTTAATCATAACATATCCAATGCACTCAGAGAAACAATTGGGTACCCATATAAGAGAAAGGAAATGAACATATTCCAGACGCTATCGTCAAAGCTATCCGCAAATAATCCATCATTGACAATTGACACCCAACACTCAATTCCAAGTTTACTCAGGACTGATGAATTTACCTCAACACCGTATTTGATGGCGACCCCAGCAAGAGTATCCAACTTGGATACCTTATGTTCTATAAAACCAGGAGAAGGGAACGACGAAGCCGGCAAGGATGGACTCCTCTCTCTATCTAAAGCAGCTTTATGATCATTATTACGGTAACCATAACTGCATTCACCAATGGCAATTGTATGTCGCCTCTCCCTTTCCATCAGCACCTCAAATCATACAATCCGAACAGCCAATCTTAACCCTATTTCATCATCAAGAAACCCAGATGCAGCATTCTATTTCAACTCCATCGAATCGAAATCAAATCCAAATTAAGAAATTCGAACGATTGTGTTTTCAACTGGGCATATACCAGATCAAATTACGAGAAATACAGACAATTTAGATTGAGAATCAAGGAAACCATTGAGGAAGGAAATAGAATGGAAGAACCCTAGATCTAAGAGAGGAGAATGTGGGTGGGGAGAACCAGACGAAGGGAGTTGCGGCGAGGAAGTCGTGGCCAGAGGGAGTTTTGTTTACAGTGTCGGACGACTTTTCGTCCTGTCTTTCCGGGAAAACGAGTGAAAGATATCCCCTCCCCTGTTTTTCACTCAGAAAGTGCCAATGCTTTAAGGTATCAGGTAAATTGAAGGAAAAGAGTTTCACGGGTCGAAAAGGTGATCGTGCAATTCGGATTTTTTTCTTATTTAATAAA